CATATTCGTGATAGACCTATGATTCATGAATACAAACATACCTTCGGGTACAAAAAATGCAAATATACCTTCGGGTACATACATGCATTATTCGTGGAAAGGCCTACACTAAAATATGTTGAGCGTTTTCGAACCAGGTAGAAAGCAGGCTTTATAGTGAATAGATTTTTGCGCTTTTGCCATTTGATCCAAATATGGGCTAGCTTGTTAGTTAGTTTTGTACATAATTTCATATATTTGTATCGCGCGGCGGAGACATCGGGCGCTCAAATGTTGATGCTTTCTATATATTTACTATTGAATTTTCGAAATCTCCGGAGCGCAATTTCCAAACTTTGCAGTCAGTAATAATATTTTGGTCTTTTGGATCTACATAAATTAAACTTAAAGTCAGACATCGCCTGCTTCTTTTGAGTCCTATTCCTATTAAATAGCATTGAAGGATTAAGGTTCATTGGGACAAAATGTATTACTAAAAGCTGAAAACGAGGAACTCAATTTCCTGATATCGTGTGGAAGTAACATAGAATCTTTCTTGGCCCAATAACATATATTATTATTCCATGCAGATTGCCGCCTCTATACTGCACAGGCGCACTGGTATGTAGATTAGTAGATATGACTAAATCGTTATTGCTATACATAATACAGTCGCTTGGTAATTTCCTCTCACGAGGCATTATTGTATTACACAGACGTTATAATGTGTTTAGTTTCGAAGGGAAGAATATTCTTGCCTTCCAGCCTTCGACGCACCAGTTGGTAACATTACACCAGCCGATCTGTGTAATGACAACAGGATAAACGCTTATAATTTTAACACATACGATAGATACTGTATACTATATGACTATTAAAACAACATTGCTACATGGTTGTACTTGTTTTAACTATTAGTGCTAACTGCCAGGCAAACTGCAAACTTCAAGATTCAATGTTTTCGGAAAAACAAACACGCTGTTCTTAAGTGGTATCACTTGTGCTTATTTCCATCGCCCCAGCGACTTTACGCTCGGTGGAGCGTCTTGTTGTTAATCCAATTTAAAACTTCCTGATGATCGTGGGAAGGATTTCTCTCCGCAATCTCTGTCCAAAACTGTGCATGACGGCGAAGTTCCCCGGCGTGAAAAGTCTGTGGATCTCGTATGGCTAATGTGTTGACATCCCCAATAGCGATACCATTTTCCACATTAGACACTTGCTGGACAAGAGAATGATTGGGCGTCATACCCTCACCGACATAAATGGGGTCCCCAAGAGCATTGACCCAGCGCAACACACAGTTCTTCCGGATCGATTCATTTACTTCGCAGTCAAATATAATACTGGCCGTACCTGGGTGAGGTAACAGTATCTAAAACAGGAACAAACAATCAACAATGCCTATAGCAGACCCCAACAAGTCGGCAAGGATATGATCGCAACGACCCCGCGAACGCAGGGAGGGCTGATTGAGATACCCCTTTTCAAAGCTTTCATATCCTAGGACTGTAATAAAGCAATGGAGAAAACAACTAATAACCCCCCCCCCCGAAAAAAAAAACACAACGCAAGTGAATCAACATAATATTTGCAACAATAAATAACAAATTATCATAATACAACTCTTGTCATGTTTAAATTATTATCGAGACATATAAGTCATCAATCCACACAAATAGCGTATTAAAGTCTTACATTTGTTTCTAGATTCTAACTACAGAAACCACACAACACATGACGCACACAATAGCACAGTTCATTTTGCCTGTGATGAGGAGGCGTCAGAGACTTGTGGCGTTCTTCGACGGGTTTCTTCGTCACGTTTCTTGAGTATACACTGAGCTTGAAAATGTCCAAATCGCTGACAATAAAAGCATCTCCCGACATTTCGACGATATGGAAAAAGGCGATTTGGAGTGTTGACATTAGATCCTTGTGGAATATCGCGAGAACGACTCTGAAATCGCTTTTCCACTTTGGCGACAATATCAAAGATACGTTCATGATCTTTATCACCTAACAAACGCAAGAGTAAACTACGAAATTGCTCTGTCGAGACAGACATCTTGCCACGTAACGTTTGGTAGACCATAGGGTGATACGCATGCTTCGCATGTTTCTGCTCTTGCGAGACATTATTCAAATTTTCCACCATGTCCAAAGCCTCGAATTTATTAAACTCGGACAACGGACGTGAAGCGTACGTCATAATCTTAATCACATTCGCCACAGTTGCCTTAGTAAACGCATCAACGCTTTGCCGCAAAGCCTTGAACTCGGCTTTCAAAGTCTGGATAACATAATACAGAAAATGATACAAATATAATACCGTTTGTTTGACTTGGGCGAAACGCCGCCTACAATTTACTTACGAAAGCTCGTCGTTAGCGAATCCTCGCCCACATTTACCAACTAATCTAGTACTTGGCAAACCCTCGCCAACATGTTACTGACGAAATCTCGCCCTTGGCGAATTCTCGCCCATATGTTACTGACGAAATCTCGTCCTTAGCGAATTCTATTCACATTTTACTGACGAAATCTTGTCCTTGGCAAATTCTCGCCCACAATTTACGGACGAAATCTCATCCGTGGCGAATTCTCGCCCATACTTTACTGACGAAATCTCGTCTTTGGCGATTTCTCGCCCACATTTTACTAACAAAATCTCGTCCTTGGCGAATTCTCGCCCACATTTTGATAACGAAATCTTATTCTTGGCGATTCTCACCCACATTTAACTGACGACAACTCGTCATTGGCGAATTCTCGCCCACATGTTCCTGACGAAAACTCGTCCTTGGCGAATTCTCGCCTATTCTTCATAACTATGTAATGTATAATCAAGCAGAATTATGCCAAATATGTGTTGAATACACATTATAAACGACAAGGGTGTGAATGCAACAGATAATATATATATATACAAAGAGTTCCTCAATTGTAGAACGATAATAGTATTACTTATTTATATTAAGGCAAAACTACTGAGTTTCAAATTGACCCAGAGGCGCCTATAGTCTGTAAATTTTATAATATGCTGAAAGAACAACGTACTAACAATAGCATATGATAATGGAAGAAAAAATATGCGAGACCAAAAGACAAAATACATACACGAAACAAAACTCGTGTAAAACCTACAAGCTTCGTATTTCGATGTACAGTAACCGAACACTATATGATCAGTACGAGCACTGAATTCCTAACTAGAGGAAAACTCAGGAATCAGGCGAATAAACTAAATAAATCACTACCACAAGGTTTTGTTAATAAGTATAATTACCTCCAGATCATTGTTGTCTGGGACTGGAATATCCTGATTGATAGCGGCCTGCAGCGGCGCCGGTTGTACTTGGCCTTGAGCATCCAAAGCCATAGGTTCTGGTGGAACCTCCACAGGAAACTGCTCATCCACTTCGGCCATTGAACAAATTCGGGTGAGTCGTACTGTTTTCGTTTGCCACTTGCCTCTCAAAATGTGGAACTGAACAAGAGCGAGCATCTGGGTGTTGTCCGCACCTTTATAGCTACATCAGTCACCCATGCACATAATATATGCAATACGTTTCATAACAACTTTGTTTTAGCCTTAATTTGTTTTCGCATATCATTACGAGTGTTGAGAATAGTGTTAAGTTACCGGCTTCTAGTGTAAATTTACACCAATTTAGTGTTAAAAAACTAAAATACAGCTTTACACCAAAAGAGTGTTGGAGTAACACAATATAAGTGTAATAATACACCTCGAAGTGTAATTTTACACCTCAGAGGTCTAATTCACCAATTTCACCAAAATTGTGTAAATTTACACCTATTTGGTGTTCACTGAACACTTCGAAATTTAGAGTGTACCGAAGAATGATTGACAGAAATGCCCTAAGCATGCACATTTTTCATGTCAAAGAAGAACCAGCCTTGGAATAATGTAAACACAACAGCCCACCATGCAAGGCTTTCGTCTAACTTTGACAGTTTGACAAATTATTTATCTTGCTTAATGGACAGATAATTGACACTTTTACACAAGTCCGAAATGAGATTTACTTTATCTGTTTATTTCGAAGCAGTTCTCCCTTTGGTCCCTTTATTACATGTGACTTGTTCGTTGAATACCATCTGATAACGACGTTTTCGTTATCAAGCGATTTACAACCGCCACCAAGCGACAGCCATTTTGAGTCAATCTTCAAACGATTCTCGCAGAACTGCTTAGGGAGCATTCATTTTTTAGCTGGGGGGTGGGCCGGAGGAATTTGGGGGTGGGTCAGCCAATTTTGACATGCTTCAAAGGGTGGGTCTTTTTATAGTTTTGGTATAAATGGAGGGGGTCATAAAAATAATCAGTGAAAAAATCACCAATATGAAATATTTGGATCAAGAATGGTAAAAAGGTCCAGAATCTATCAACTATCTCGTCATCTATAACAAAGAAGCAAAATTCATTTGACACTCTGTTCACACAATCCATAGGAAAACATTTCCATGACGTTCGTCAATTGACCTCGTTTTTATCCGTTTTTGTGTGAAAACATGAATGAAAGAAAACGCAGGACCGTAGCATGATTTCAAAATCATGCATGACTTCAAAATCATGCAGACCTTGATCAATTTTAAGCTTTATTAATTTAAGCGGCTACATTATCCATGACAAACTGCAAAGAATGAAGATAGTACCCACAGTTTCCGGCAACTTATCCTAGTTATCCAATATATAGTAAATTAAATACGCCTTCGCCCATTTAGTACTACCAAATTGTCAATTTTGACATACTAAAACGCTGTTTTCTTACCATCACAATTCTGTCAAATCTTCCCCCAAAGGCCAGGAAATGACATTTCAGAGACTCTAGATTTAAAAATTTCCTCGGGCCTTCGGCCCTCGCTCCCTACGGCCCTGAAACGCTATGGAAACGACACCGTGTGGATTAATAGTTAGGATGAGGGGTCAAAAAATTTTCAGTAAAAAAAATAGGGGGTCAAAATTTTTTATCAACTTTTGTCTTGGGGGTTCCAAGTTTTCGCATGGAATTAGACATCAGTTCCTCCGGCCCACCCCCCCAGCTAAAAAATGAATGCTCCCTTAAGTTTATCAAAACTGTCAAACAATTTTAGAGTACCCTTGCTTGTGACAAAAATATCTCTCAGAGATGAGGTATTATTATTCTCATCCAACGACATTTTTAAAAATATATAGACGAATCAACTCTGAGAGACGGAGCTAAAAATGTATGTTTTTTTGGGTCGGTAGCATGTTATATATATATATGTTACAATATAGCATGTTATATCATCTTATCCCCGAGCCGACGGCGCGAAGCGCCGTGCGAGGGTAACAATTCCCCCCGGCTATTTACACCCGGGGAAACGAAAGCATTAGCCAAGTCTAAAGTTCATCAATGAGCGCGGGCGTGGGTTACCGTGAGTGGTTCGGTGGTTCGTGGGTGGTCATCCTCACTGATCTCAAAAATATGGCGGACTGTCATGAATAGGGGACACTGATTGGTCCAATTTAAAGTTTGCATCATAACGACTGTCGACTGTATGACGACAGCGAAATAGCAAACATTTCTTGATTTGATGATTGATAAATTTCTTGCAAATATATTTAATTTTTGCTCGCATTTTTGCAAGATTTTGTAAATTTCAAGAAAGAAAGGGCGAAAGAATCGGCTAAAAGAAAGGAGCCGACGTCAACGAAGGTATAAAGTTTGTTTTTGATTTTAGAATTGCTTTATTGATTTTAGAATTGCTTTAAAACCCGATGGCCGCTTTGGCCCTTTAGCTTTGCGTATATGAAACAACTAAACAAGACAGCATATAATTTCAGTGTATTAATAATATTGATTCCCTTTTTTATTAGGCCTATATTGATTTTTTTTAAATAAATAAATAAAAAAGAAAGCTAAGTTATTTGCATGCGAGAATTCGAAATCATTTTATTGCAAACTCAAAGTTTATCGATAAAACCATTTTAATAATTAAAGGCAGTTTTAATAGTTTTATAAAGAACATTTTAAAACGTTTTGCGAAGCTTTTGTGGTTGAATTTTACCTTAAAATTGAAGCTTATATAACGTATAATAACATACCTAACATATATATGTTGGGAAATTGATAATTTTGTAATTAAAAGTGATATTTTTAGGCGATTTTTCATTTGTAAGCTAGAATATTCTTAAAAAATTATCGTGTCACCATGACAACAAGTTTGGATACTTCATGTTCGGAAAATACAATCGTTTTGTCAGCAAGGCGAGGGTTTCTGCATACATGTATTTTCTAGTATAGCTGTATATAGCATGTTATGTAGCATGCTATATTATAAATTCTTTCAATGGCAATATTTCCTCTGTTAGTCTGGCGAATTAGCTATTTGACTATTGCACCATTTGTTTTGTAATACATGTGTATTTTGTGTTTTCGTATTTCGTAATATTGTTAACGATTTTGTATTTTATATATTTTGTAACATTTTATAAATTATCTACGCCCCTCTTGGAAAGCAGCTTCGGTTGAAATAGCCAGCGTAGTCAAATAAAGTTTTATCCATCCATCCAATTGCAACTGTAAACATATGAAATGAAAAAGAAATATAAGGAGTTTACACTCTCAAACGGCAGAACAACACGACTTCACCTGTTAAGTTATTGCCAATCTACTTACCTCATATATTACCACAATTAATGGAAAGGAATACAACATCATAGAAAGTCTACTTTTCTGTATAAAAATTATACAGAAATGTAGTAATTCGTATGAAACCATTTTAATACGTAAAACACTTCAATGGTCCTTACCCGAGATAAGCGCTTTGGAAAATTTGAAACGAATGTTTTTTCTTGTTTAAGGTTGGACAACCAGTGAAATCTGTCGCCATGAATGAATCTTTTTTACTCGGGACTGGTTACAGATATGTAAAATTGCAGCTGAAAATGAGAAAGCGATTCTGACTCTCATTAACACACAAAGGTCACCATTTATAGTTAGCCACCGTCATTTCGTCAGAGACAACATCTTCATGTATCTTATTTTTGACCTCTGTGAAGAAACATTGGCTGATCACGTTCTATTTCAAAGTGCTAAACATGTGCAAGAACATGGGCGAAGAATGATCAAAGAAATCTTGACTGGACTTGAATTTCTTCATGCTCAAGGAATTTTGCATAGAGATCTCAAACCATCCAATGTCCATGTTGACGTCGAAGGTCACATTAGATTGGCAGACTTTGGAATAAGTCATGTTCTAAATGAAGATGAAACGACAGTTCAGACTGATGCGAAAGGAATTCGCCCCGGGCCCCCGCCAACCTCTCGGCAGCCCTGCTGATGAAGACACTAGACTCATAGGCGTACCGGGCGGGGGGGGGGCGGTAGCCCCCCCAGTTTTTTGGGCAGTCGGGCAATATTCGATCAACAGTCGGGCAATTTTGGCTTGCAATAAAAAAAATGCGACAAATTCTGTCAATTTTGTCTAAAATTAAGTCAATTTTTTGGCAAATTTTGCGATTTTTCGAAAATTTGTGTTGTGTTCCGAAAAAAATTGGTTGTCCGGAAAAATTTTTTGATCCCTAAAATGGTACACTGACCGAAATTTTTTTGGCGACGGGGGGGGGGTCGCCGAAATAATTTTTCCGGAAAAATTTTTTTGATACTAGTCGGGCAAAATTCGAAAAGTCGGCCAATTTTCTTTCCGCCCCCCCTAATTTTTTCCTTCCGGTACGCCCATGACTAGACTGGAGTGTCGAAACGTTGGGTCTTGATTACAATTCGACTGGGCTTTGTAATCATTTATTTAAACCAGAGTAACGAGCGAAACATGATTGATATACCTGGTTGCAGTGAACGAACAGACTTTAAAGCACGAATCATATTTAGCCCGTTATTTAGCCCGGAGAGAGAGAGAGAGAGCTTACGGCTAATCACGTAGTTAACTTGTGTGGGCTTGCGTGGGGTAGTTAAACAGTACAATTATATAAAGTAACATGATTGTGGACTCGCATCTTGCAAATAGGCGGGAATTTTATTCAAAATAGTGTAAAGTAAACAAGAAAACTAAGAAAAACTCAACGAAGAAGGCAGTATTTTTTACTTGAGATTTCCACGTTAAACCAAAGTGTAATTGTTTGGCAATTATACATCATGTTCCTTCGTGTAATGGGCCCTACGTCGTCTTCAGGAGATCTGATCCCGTGCAAAAATATACATTTTCTTAAAAAGCTTTTGAAATTCACAAAATCTTGCAAAAATGAAACATATTTGCAAGAAATCATCAAATCAAGAAATATTTGCTATTTCGCTGTCGTCATGCAGTCGTAATAATACAAATTTTAAATTTGACCAATCAGTATTCGCTATTTATGACAGTCCTTTTTTTTGAGACCACCCTATAGATATAGGAGATCTAGATTGCTAACGCATACCTAGC